TTAACAGCTGCTGTTTTTAAATGTACTTCTTAAATAAATTTGACGTGATTCTTCTCAGCAGAGCTCATATGAGGAGGAGGAGGATGGAACAGGGAACAGTCCCCCCCCGCCCTGCTGTCCCCTCCATTCTGTGCATAGCCTAAATGAGATACTGGTATTTAAACACATATTTACCTTACACAGAACTATATAGAAACAGGTCTGTGCATGATGCGCAAAATACGATAAACAAAACAGAAACGATTTTAAGAAATTAATTCACGTCTATCTTGGGGGATGGTTCTTGAGAGTACCTCGTTGGTCATTCAGGTTAGACTTCTGGTCACATGATGACAGAGTAGGTGGAGTTATGGTTGGATATTTGAAACCGTGAGCAAGAGTCGTTGTGCATCTAATTACCTGAGGGCATTCTCCCAATGTCACAAGTGCCAGTCCCTTCAGGCTCAAAGCCCTTGGAGCCATGAGTGTCCAGCTGTAAAATGGCAGTGGCAGGAAAATATTTGAAATACAATATAGTTTTGTAAATTATGAACAAATTATTAGTACATAAGGAAGACACTGCTGCATATAAACCATGAGGGTACAAAGTGCAAGAACAATGTAGCAGCTTGTACAATGACAATTACAGTAGTGAAAAAACAGAAAGAAGCTGAAATCATAAGGAGAAAGTTGAGAGAGCACATTTTTGCTGAATAAGGCTGGAAAAAGTTGCATTGAGTGCAACAAAAGTGAAATAAACATAAAAATAGCAAAATTATAGCTGAAATACCAGAAAAAGCTGAAACGTAGAAAGGAAATCTGAAAGGAGCACAAAATGCTGAAATCAGCAGAAAAAAATTAGAAGAAGCAAAAAAAAAAATGTTAGCAGAAAAATCTGAAAGAAGCACAAAAACAAAAAAACAGCTGAAAGTAGCTGATAAAGGTTTAAATTTACACAAGGAAGCTGAAAAAAGCTGAACCAGAACAAAATGTGAAAGGAGCAGTAAAAGGTTGTAAACGCACCTAAAATTATGAAGGATGTAAAATGAGCTCAATTCATTTTCTAGGAGGAAAAAGAAAAAAATAGCAGAAAAGGCTAAATATTTCAAAAAAGCTAAAGTTGCACCAATACCGGAAGTCATAGCACCCTCCTCCTGAACGGTTTGATATATGATTTGTTGAAACAGCACAAAAATTCTGGAACGAGAAAGATTTAGAAAAACGAACAGAAGACAAATGGATCATCACAATAGTGTGAATACTTCATAAACATCCACACAATAAAAGCACAGTTATTATAAGAGCCCCCCACCCCGAAGTGAAGCTGATAAATTCAAGGTTTGCTGCATGAGCTCTACGTTGGCACTGAGTTAGTTCTCTGGTCAGGGTGACCTCACATGAAAATAAATGCCCTCGTGCTTCAACACACTGGGATCCGTTAAGATTTTCTTCCACCTCTAAGGTTCCGGTCACGTATAAAGTGAATCCAATAGTTGCTTGAATAATGTCTCGGTATGCTAATGTGAGGGTTCTCCGTGTTTTGTGGGTTTTTACGTTGCCAAAAATATCCAAGTGTATTAGTGAGACCCAGAGAGCGATCGGAGCCAACTGCTCTGCTGCTCAAATTTAGGTTCATTATAAAATAATCAGGGCGTTTGACGGGCAGCTCTGAATGAGCAGCATTCAGCTACAGGAAACATTCACTCTCTTCTGCATAGCGACAGCTACCAAGTGACCGATCCTGTCGATAAGTGTGTGTGTGTGCATAGGGGAGATGCTGGATGTCAGCCACAGGGGAATAAAGAAGATTCTGTGTTTCTTTTTGTGTGTCTATATAGATGTGTTCAAAAGGAGTGTGCATTTTTTGACTGTATGTTTATGCAGGCGTGCATAAATGTGTGTGTGTGGCGTTTAATGTATGACACACAACACATCCCTTCTCGCCGTTTGACTTTGGTAAGCAGCTTGTCTCTCGTGTATATTCGTCTGTCTCGTGCTTTAACCTTTCTCTGCTTGTGCAGACACAAGGACTGTTTTTGCCGCCCCTTGATAAGGCAGGAGACAAAGGTAGCTCTCCAAGCAGCCGTGTCTCTAATGGCGTCCTGTAAGAACGTGTTGCCGCAGCGACAAGCTTTCTCCCGCGGTGATCTGGGAGTAAACGTGGAAGGTAGAACATACAAAGTAGGAGAATGAGGCAGTGTAAACATTCAATCTCAGCAGAGCGCTAAATAAACTGCGAGAACCAGGCAATCTCTCTGTGGCTTGTTTCTTCTTCTTCCATTTTCTTTTTTAGTGCCCTCATAAACATACGAGATCAAAAGTTTTGGATGTTTCCGAGAAACTTGTGCCTTAAAAAGTTTTGTTTGCCTGATCAAACCGCAGTTATGAGTTTTGTGTTTGTGGTGTTCAGACGTTTGTTTGACGACTTGTCGGACGCAATTCGCATAAGAGTTTCTGAATTGGGTCACACATGTAGGAAGCAGACGCAGCGCAGTAAACAAGCCAAAGTGATGATGACAACCTTCAAATCTGTGTGTTTTGAGCTGTATGTTTTCCTGTTTTGTTCTTTTCAGACGAGAAAATGATTGGTGATACTTTGCTGAGAACTACTGATCGCTGAAATCCTCCTGGCTTCCCATCCTCCTGCTGCAGCGCCTTGAAGCACCATTAGCACCCACCAGACCTCTGGATTGTTTGGGCACAGCAACACGATGGCCTCTGCACTGTGGAGGAGTCCGGCGTTTCGCTGCCTCCTGCTCCTTCTCTTTTGCTTTCACTGTTCACAAGGTGAGTACATACAAAGGGTCCATGACAAAAAAGTAGTGTTGATGCAGTTCCAGCCAAGTTTTCAGAGGTTATTTATCATTAAGCTTATGAATGTGTTGAATATTTTAGAGTGAGATGCTGTGGCTGCTTTTGAGGAGTGAAGGGCTGCTTTGTGGCAAGATTTCCAACTTTTCATTATGTGGCTTTGCCCTTGAAGTTTCAAAAGGCTCAAGGTGACTTTATTGTCATTCACATCACATGTGGTACATGAGGTGGAATGAAATTGTGTACTCAAGGTCCCAGTTACACCTATCAATAGCAATATTATAAACTATATAAAAAGAAAGAAAACAGTATTCAAAGATCTACAGTAGTCCCTCGCTACTTCGCGGTTTGTTTATCGCAGACTTGCTCTATTGCGGTTTTTCAAAATAAGATTGGACATGACACACATTTGGCTGATTGATGAATGAGCCTCACGATCGGCATGGACTTTTTATTTAAAATAAATTATTTTAAGCTATGTAGCACCTCTGTGCAGCCCACACTGCAGGATAAGCTTCCTGCTGCAGCTGATCAGCTGATC